AGCAATAAAATGAACAATTTTCTGTATGTTGTTTAGTTTACCAGCTGATGTAATTTTCACTTCTGTTATCATTGGGGTTTTATTCAATTCTTCCTGAATTTTATCACCACCTTTTAATTGGAAAAGTCGATACAAATATGTTACTTAATAACACATTGAATATGTCTATGCCAATACATTAAATATTTCTGATTGAGCCCCAAGAAGTTAATTTTTTTAATTTTTGATTATAAATAAGATATTCATTAAATGAGAATAATTTTTATATTATACAACAGATGCAATGAATATGTTTATTTTGAAAATAAATGTATAAGTCATAAAAATGACCTTGGTTAGTTTTTTCTCTACTGTAGCTTGAGCTTTAGCATTTACCAGTTGTTATCTTTAGATCTAGAACAATAATATTGTATTTTCTTTGGTAAATATGTTTTGAACTTAATTTATTTCTGTGATTAACTTTGAAATAAAAGGAGGCCCAATTTTAATTTCAAATAAATATACCATTTCATAGTTTAAGTGAAAAGTATTACAAGTACCCTTTGCTAAAATGGCTTTTCCCAAGCCACCACCTAATTTCTTTGAAATATGTAAGGGGTTAATAATGCCATCAGCAATCTCTTCCAGGATATTTCCACATGTGAAAATTATATCACAGCCTCTNTTTAGATTTTCAAATTCATCAATTAACTTTTTGCCTTCTTTATCTGAAAGAAATTCTTTAATTCCAAAATTGTTCAGCTGGAAAGTCTGAGCTTTAATCTTGTCTCTGAAAAAATATTTAAAAACACAGAAAGCCATTTATTTTATTATTCATAATCTATTTACATTTGTGAAATGCAAAGACCATTCAATAAATCTGGAAGCATTAACTTAACCAAAAGGCTAAAATTGCATCCCATATTTTTAATTTAAAAAAAATTAGTTTTAGTTGAACCCCTACTGCCACATATTAAGAATCCTCAGCCTTATTTTTCATTTAAGCTAAATCATTAAATTTTATCAACATTTATGACCATGAAAAAAAAAATCATAAACATCACTTATAGCAAAATACCCGCAGTCAAAAATACTTGCCTTAAATTAGACAGGTATATTTCTGCCTCTCTGGTTCCATCTTCAGTCCCTTGAAACACAATTTTATCCTCACTATAATCCACAGATATCCCATGTTCCAATAAGTCACTGATAGTCCGAATGAAGGTATCTGACATAAATCTTTCAATATATTCGATCTCTCCTCTCAGCATGGGAACTTCGTGTTCATGAATCTGATTCTCCTCCATAAATCTTTCGATTATCGCTTGGGCTTGGTATATATATTTACGAAGTGCCACAATGTGAATGGACTTATTACTTTGATCCAATCTTGCTATTGTGCTTGTTTTTTCTTTTTCATCCTCACATAATTGTGCAATAAATTCAGAACCTTTTAAGGATTGGAATATAGAAAACTGATCACCTAATGACATTTTTTTACTTTCAATTTGTTTCTTAACAACTTCAATTAGTTTGGTTTCATCGGCTTCTTTCAAGTAGTGTAGAATTAACGAGTCATCTTTGCATTCTAAAAAGGCAGGATAATGCTTTTTCTTAAACATTTTGTTGATGTAACTTTGGACACCACTGATCTGTAGGAGTTCTATGTGTGTGGTATCCATGTTCTTAGCAGTGAATTGGAGCTTTTTAATATCTTTGTAGCATTTGTTAAAAATTGTGTTTTTAGCAACCTTAATATTTTCATCAGTGCCCCTAAGATTTAAGAGTCCAGGTTGAAACTCTGTTTCAATCTTTAAGTCCCCCAAAAAATTGATACTTTGCAAAATTTCTTTTTCACGCTCTTCCAGGGGCATTGAAACTTGTGCCATTGTATCTTTATTTTCCTTTCTAGGCTTTTTTCTCTCTTTTCCTGCATCTATTTTCTTCTCTCCTTCTTTCAAAGTCATTCTTTCAGCTTCTCCTTTCTGTAAGTCATTTTTTTTCATAGTTGCCGGTAATGTTTTAGAGCTCTGTTCTTCCTCATGGCTTTTCTTTTTTTTGGGGGATTTGTCTCCTTTTTGTTGAAGATCCGTGGCTTCATCAATCTCTCTATCTTCAGGCTTCTTTATATCTTTGGGTTTATATTCTGCTCTTGTTTTCTTAGGCAAATTTTTAGTTGTTCTGTCCAAGCCAAAATGTTTTTCATAAACTTCTGGTGAAAGGCAGTAATGAAAATAATCAATCTTCAGTTTTTTCCCCTCAAGTTCATGATTATTTTTATTCAAAATGCTCTCTATTGCTGAAGATAGAAAAAAGATATTAACATTTTTAAAGCACATATAAAAAACTGGCCAGTTTAGAAAACTTCCATATACGCCAACTAACTAAAAAAATATTCAAAATCTATTTATTATTGATTTTAACTTTTATAAATAAGATAATAAAAACACTATTTTACATTGGATGGCAATTAAAAATCAACATTAAAATATATAGGCCTATAAGCAAAGTGTAAAAACTTGCAGCAAATGTGACAGTAAAATGGGTTCATTGAGCCCATGCATGTTTGAAAATGTAAACGTTTACATATCTTTTCATTTATGCTGTCTTTTAAATGATTTAAGTAGTCTTTTTGAAAAAAAGATTGCAAGCCTCTTGTATGAACCATTAAGTATTAACTTTTCCATAGTTAGTAGAAAAAAAAAATTATTCAAACAAAAAAGATTTGAATAATAAGGTAGATGTCAGTATTGCACATAAAAAAGAGCAATGCAAGCCTTTGAGCAAACATATTAATGGGCTACGTTGATATCTCAATAATAACTATCCAAACTATTGAAATACTCTGTCACTAACCAGATACCATCAAAAATTACATTTACTGAAGTTAAGGTCAAGAAACAAAGATTATAATTTTATATAAATTTCAAAATTGTATAATTTAATCAACGTTATCTTACTTTCCACACTTTTAAGAGTTGCTATAGCCTGGTGATCATTGATTCTTTTAATAGGGGAACTCAACTGTCCACGGCTTCCACCATGTCTCTTGCTTGACAAATAACGCTCTACAGTGCTATTATCAGTGCCTTTAGAGAGACCAGATATCAAAATTTGGTTGCTTTTCTCAACTGGTGCTGTAATGAGGTGAATGTCACAAAATTCCACAGCACATTTCCATAACAAATCTCCATATTTTGCTGAAAAGTAAATTTTTATAAATTATTGTGAAATATTTGTTGGCAGTTTTGATCAGTTACTTTGACAAGTTGGCATTAAAAACTCTTCAGATTATCCCCTGTTTGGCAAAAGCATAATTTGTAAGAGCTCCTCATTATCCAATTAATGAGCATAAGCCTATCTTTTAGATGATGTAGTCTCCTTGGGGCCATGAGGCAATAACTGCACACAGCTAGTGAAAGGAGGCAGTATATCTTTTTAAGGGGCACAATTTGTTAAATATTTGCAAGTCAATATTTATTATAATTTATAATAGAGAGAGAGGTTGTTACATATATAAAATAAAAGTCTTTGCAAATTAAATGTATTTCATTATCTAAATTTATAATTTTTAATTTCATTCAATCACTATTTTGTTATGCAGAATATATTACTATAACATGATATACAAATCACATTTACCTGGTATAATTATTTTTCCTGTCAAATTTAAATTTATATTGAGGAAGTTTTGATTTAACTGAAAATTCTCATTTGTAACTTGTAACATGTAACTTCAATAATTATTTTGAGTTCCACAATTAAGATCATTATCTTTACATGTGCTTTGAAGATTTTCCCTTTAAGGATGAAAATGTAACTTGGTAATCTGACATAGACATTGTGCATGTTATAATCATAGTGACTAAAATGATGATTAAAAACTTAACTACTCAAATTGACAATGTCTATAAAGTACCTTGGTGACAGTGTTTTGGGTTGAATTTTACAATCAAAGACCTTGGTTCATCATACTGTATAATTTCTTGGACATCCCGTTTAAGACAATTGGAGATCTGATCTTTAAATGCATTTATATCTTTTTTGGATTCAAAGCTATATCCAAAGACAGCAACAAGATTGCTGTACCAGTTGAAGTCATTCTCACTTGCAATGGTAACTTTAGTAATATTGCTATCTTCATTATGCCTGGTACGGCGAAATGCCCTGGCATCTAATTCAAAAGAGAAATTATTAAAAGTTTAGTTATAAATATATATGAAGATAATGGTGCAAGTAGATTATAGCTCAACTTTTTAACCTTAAATATAACAGTATTTTTAGAAAATAAAAATGAGATATTTTATTTTAACTTATTTAATTTTTCAAAAGTTGTTTAAGTTCACTCACCTTTGGCATTTTTAAAAGTAACAAAAACATGTTTATTCAAGCCATCCAGCAAAATGCTTTTTTCATAAAATTCTCCTTCATTGATTGCGTCATCTTCTAAATAAAGGAGATAAAAGTCCTTTTGCTTCTTTGCATCTATTATTTTAATTTTCACAGTTTTCTCAGCTTTTTCTGCTAAACTGAGATCGTCATCATCAGAATCATCATCATGAGAACTGACTGAAGATTCAGAAAAGCATTCTGATTCACTACAAGATTGGATGGGTTTCTTATCAGATACAAAACCACTGCTTTCATCTTTAGAAGAGCCTTTAATAGATGATGCCCCTTTAGATCCATCACCATTTCCTCTGTTAGAAGATATAACATCTTCTTGATCTGTTAAACTATTTCTTCCTTTGTTTTTTGGTTTAGTTTCAAACTCATTTTCTGAACTCTCAGAGGATTCAAAATCACTAGAGGAAGAATATTGAGGTTTTTTCTTATCAGCAGCAATGATTTTGCTTCTGTCTTTAGAATGAGGCTTTTTATATATTATGTTTGGTCTTTCTGTGGCTTGACTTTCAAGAGAATGCGCTTTCTGTTTTTTAGACTTGTCTTCATAGTTATCTGTAAGACTCATTTTTTCTGAGCCTTTTGTTTTAGGTATAAAATTATCCTCAGAGCTTTCAGAAGATTCAAAATCACTTGATGATTCAGCTCTCTCATCTATTTCAAATTTCTTGCTTTCTTCCTCACTATGCCCTTTTCTCATCATATTTTGCTTTCTATATTCATCACTCTTAAATCCATATTTTTGTCTGTTTAAAGGCTTGTTTCCATCTTGATCTCCAAGGATTCTTATATTGTTTGTGTTTCTTGTTTTAGTTGGATGTATATCATCAGAACTTTCAGAAGATTCTGATTCACTCAAAGAATGAGTTTCTCTCTTATCATTTCTAGGTTGCAACTTTTGACATGCATTTTTCCTGTTTGATGATCCAAATTCAGCGTTATAACTTTCTTGTTTATTCAAATTTTTACCATTGCTTTTTTCTGTAAAACTCATTGCCACTGAAGGAGTTTTTTTATTTTTAAGAACAGTCTCACGTCTTCTCTGTAAACTTTTGGAAATGTCATCAACACAGAAAATCTTAGCTTCAAATTCTTGAATCTCAATAAAATTTCCTTTGTTAAGTATTATATTGACAGCTAGAGAAAAATTAAATAAAAACATTAAGAAATGCAAATTCTTTATTGTTTTATTTAAGTTTAAAGAAAGCATTGACTTGAAGAAACACATTCCGAACATTATTGTGCATAATTCATGTGTTTACTTAATCAAATTAAAAAAACTTACTTTATCTTAAGTCATTTTTTTGTATTGGTATTTCTTTAGCACAATTGTATATCATGTTTTCATTTTTATGAGCTCACCATTTCATGAGAGCATAAAGAGGGCAGTATTTCATAGGACTATTTAGAGCTTTAATTGATAGCTATATTAATGTAATTATAAAATAATTTAGAAGCTCAAAAAGTCCACGTTAGATTGAACAAATTATTTCATTTTTAAAGCTCAAAGATTTTACGAATTATTTTTTCTTACAACTAGCAGTATTTCAGCAATATTAAGACTTATCTAATTACCTTCACAATCTCTAAAAGTAACTATTGCGCTGTGCTCTTCACTATTCAAATCTATATTGTCGACAGGACCACCACCTTGACGTCTCTTATTAGACAATATGATCCTAAGCATGTCTGCAGTAATATCTGGTGGAAGATTTTCTAATCTGAGCATCCTTCCTCTCTCTGCCATCATGGAACGTCCCTGAAATGAATAACTTTTAATCAAAAAAGTTTTTCAAAAAGCATTATTTAACTAAATCCATGAACTATGTCATATTTGTAGCATAACAAAGACGATTGAAACACACAGACAAATTATATTAAATACAGGTACTTGAACACAAAATAGAATTAGTTATATATATGTAATTATTTTTCAACAAAGTATGTTATCTAATTAGTGATTATACAGCTACCACATTTTTATCTGAAGTCATCACTAACTATAAGAATCCATTTTTAATTACTTTTAAATAATACAAATTTATTTCAGATGTTATTAAAAAAGTCCCCGCATAATAACATGGTTGTGACATGCTTTATGTGGTTAAGAGAACTGTTGAGAAAACCATGACACACAATTTTTGGGGTACAAAATGTATAATTTATGTCATATAAAACAATTAATTTTTTAACCCAACCTGTCCTTGATTTACACAACACATAAAATTTCCAATATGAAATATTATAATGTATCAAAAAGCACCAGGCCGAGATATAAATTGAAAAGCCCAAGGCACAGATAAAATCCATAACCCCATGATTGTGAATTTGGGCCCTATGGTGGAAAAATCCATACTCAATGTCATAAACAGTTCTTGAGGCAAAAGTGAAATCCTTAAAATCTTGGAAAATGCCATTATACCACCATTGTTTTAAAAATGAAAGGCTGAAAATTATGTCAAAAGCTTTAGACCAATATCCCTGACTTCCTGAATTGGAAAACTTGCAGAAAGAATGATCAACTTTT